TCTTGTTCTGTGATGGGGGTGGGGGGGGCACATGCTGAGTCTCCCAAGGTTGCATCTGGAGGAGCCCCTGCTTCTCCAGCCTGGACCCCCAGCTTTGCCCAACACCAGCCCCTGCCCCAGCCTAAGTCCAAATGTTTACAGGGAGCCTCCTGCCCAGTTCCCCACCCCCCAGCCACTTGGAGGCCCCAAAGGAAAAAGCACAAGAAGCGTGAGACGCCACCATTCCTGGAGACCACAGTCCACCTGCTCATTCTCGTAGCTTTTTAAAAAAATGAAAGTAAAGAAAAAAAAAAAAAACCGCAAATCTAGAAAACTTTTTAGAGAAAAACTATTTAAAACTATCAGATCCTGACCAGCAGCCCCCTCAGCCCCCGTTCCAAGTGACTCCGTGCCTTGAGTGTGTCTGCGTGTTTACACCCATCCCTCTGCTGGCCGCCCCTGTGTGAGCGGCACCCCTGCCCTGCCCTCCACAGAATTGGGTTCCAAGGGCTGTTCCAGACAACTGCCAACGTCACTGAGGGCCCTGCCCCAGCGGCCCTGGGCCCAGGCTCCATTAACCTAAATGTAGCTCCTTAGCGCTAACCTAGGAACCCCCGCTGCCTGCTGGGGGGCCACGCCCCTCATGCCCTCGTCCCAGGCCCGGGGCCTTCAGCGTTGAACACTTCCTTGCTTTTTTTCACATGTTTTATGGAATTGTTCACCTGGTTTGAAATAATAAAATGTAGAAAGAAAAAAAAAATACTCTGTAGTATTTGGATAAGAAAATGAGCATTACAGGAAGGAGAAAGCACACAGGATGAAAAGAGAAGAAAACAAGTTATGTTTGTCATATAAGTAGGAGACTGACTGAGTCAGTGGAGGATTTGTATTGAGAAATAGTAGGAAGCAAGCCAGAATAGAAGACTGGGGGCAAATCATTCAAATATATTTAAATGCCAGTCTAAAACCCAGGGCAATTAGAAGCCAGTGCACATTTTTTATCAGAGTCCAATACTTGAATAATCCTGTACTTGTTTTAGGAAATCACACATGATCATCAGAATTTACAGCTAAAATTAATTTTATTGACAATCTGGTTAAATACCTTTAATTTAGAGATTAGACACTGAGACTTATATTAAGGATCCCTACTCTTTGCTACTTAAAAGTCAAGATAAGTGAGCATTACATTTAGCTGAGAAAAGAAATATCCAGTAACTGCCTTTTGAATATGAACCTTTTAATCACTGTTACATTGTTTTGTTCCTCGAGAATCTGTGAACTTCTAAAGAAAACAGATTCCTATTTTTATGGTAGGGACTTTATGAATGTAGACACTAAGTAAAGAAGTAATATAAATGATACCAACCACAGAAAATGGATTTAGAAGTAAGTGACATGAATTGGGGGAAAGTCATAGGCCCATTATAGCCATGTTCCCCAAGACCCCCAGAACGACATTCACCCATAACTACTTACTGACATAGTGGCTTTCAGGTGAATGCCATGGAGCTTGTTGAGCAAGGAACATGGAGACGACAAATCAAAAAATGCCTCAAGTCACTTGCCTATGTAAAATATCTCCCCTTTCAGGCTCTTTGCATTCTGCAGTTTCTCAATAATCAGCTACATCAGATCCTCTTCTTGTTTCATTTCATTCTTTTTTTTAAGAGATAGGGTCTCACTGTATTGTCCAGGATTGCCTCAAATTCTCAGGCTTGCCTCAAACTTCCAGGGCTAAAGGCATTCTCCTGCCTCAAGCCTCCTGAGTAGCTGGGACCACAGGCTCATGACACTGCATCTGGCTCTTTCTCTTAATTCTGACCACTGACTTCTAGAATTTCCGGTTACATGACACTGTAATGTGAGTTTATGTGTATTTATAGAGGCTGCCAAGAAATAGTCCCAGAAGTGCTGTGTCCCAAATCTGAGAACAGAACTTTGGTTTACTTCATGTATTGTTTGCTTTTTAGGCTAGGGAAGCAAAGGCATCCTTAAAACCAACTTATGTCCTTCCTGCCTCTGGGAAGTCTTCTCCAACAGCAGACTACTTCAAACACAGAAATTATATTTCTAAAAAAATGTATGGAAAAGCCATGTCTGATAAATTTCAGTTCTCATAACATAGGATTTAAGAAAAAGTAACCAATAAAAATGTCATTGAATATATGCATTCACATGTGAGGCAAACATAGATAACACAAACAAAAGTTGTGAAGGCTATCCACTTTCAAAACAAAACATTGATGAACTTTAATGTTTTTGCTGTATTCCTTCTTCTGAACCGGCTTCTTCAGATCTTTAAGAAATATTGCAATAGTATTGAGATCTAAAGAGAACATAGATCTATAATAACAAAGGTCTAAGATCCAGAAAATAGATATAAGATCTATGTTCTCCTCCATAATTAAGGTTTTGCTTCTTTGAAAGGACTTGACGCAATTCTTACTGGTTTTTAAATTATTGTCTTTTGTATGAGCATTTTCTCTTTTTTCACACACATCTTTGCCAAAAAAATAAAATAAAATAAAGGTTTTGTTACTTTTTGTCTGACTTTCTTTCCAATTAACGTGGTGCATTAGGGTAAGTTTTAGCTGTATTTTCCCCATAAATTGAAAGGGTAGACATATTTTCTCTGTGGACAACCCCATAAAGCCACCATCATTTGCTAAAGAAGTTGCTATATGTTTTTGTGTTCACATGTACTCAATTACATGTGACATATTAAAAATAGCACAGATGTTTTGTTACAAAACCACTACAGCCAACTCCACATCATCTCTGTTGCCATTTAGCTTCTACCATTCTTTGAGTCAAACTATCAGCATTGACCATCTGTTTCCTTCCCATTATTCGGCATTTCTCTTTGGTGCTTCACATCGTTTTTGTTTTTTTTTTTTTAATTTCTATCACAGTACCACTCTCTCCTCACAACTACAATTGCTCAAATAATTAAATGAGGACTACCCTGGTTTAGATAGTGCCCTTTCATATGTTTTCTCATTCAAGTTTTATATAAACTAGTTTTACAAGATCTTAAAGTTATGTGATTCAAATTGGCAATATGTAGAAATATGTTAATGTTTGATCTACCAATCCCACTCTTGGGAATTTATTCTGAGAACCAAAATGTATATACCAACTCTATATATTAAAATAAGTATTAATAATACCAGGTTTTTAAATGATCACAATGTCCAGTAATAGGAAATTGGTTAAATAATTTATGATACATTTGTATGATGCAATAATGAATCCAATGTCCATGACCATGTTAAGCATCAAAGGAAGCATCTAAAACTATCTATATTATGACATAAACTTGGATGTATTTATTGATATGTACACCAAAGAGCCAAAAGTGTATTTCACAAAATGGTAGGCTTATCAGTGATTTTTATCTCTATTCTTTTCTCTCTTTTCTCTTTAACTATAAATAGCATATATCTCATGTGAGATACATATGTGTGTATTTATCCATATATATAAAATTTGTACCAAAGTACTTATTGTAATTTTACTTTTAAGAAAAATGACACTTACATTACCACTTACATATGACCCAGAAATTTTACTCACATGTATGTACCCAAAAGAATAAAAATCTATGATCACACAAATATTTGTACCTCAATTTATATAGCAACATTACCAGCAATAGTCAAAAGATGGTAATAATCCTCATGTCCTCTTCATGAATTTTAAAATGTGGCAGCCCAACAATGGTTATCAGCCATAAAAAAGTAGTGATACACACCACAAAATTATTTAACCTTGAAAACATAATGCCAAGTGACAGAAGTCACTCAAGTAGACCTTACATTGTGATATAGTTTGGCTATGTCCCCACCCAAATCTCATTTTACATTGTAGTTCTTATAATCCCTATGTGTGGTGGGAGGGATCCGGTGGGAGGAATTTAATCATGGGGGTGGTCACCCTTATGCTATTCTAGTGATAGTGAGTAAATTCTCATGAGATCTGAAAGTTTTATAAGGAGTTTTTCCACCTTTTGCTTGACACTTCTTTTTCCTGCCATCGTGTGAAGAAGCAGGTGTTTGCTTCCCCCTCAACCATGATTCTAAGTTTCCTGAGGCCTCCCCAGCCATGTAGAACTGTGTGTCAATTAAATCTCTTTCCTTTATAAATTATCCCATCTTGGGCAGTTCTTTATAGCAATGTGAGAATGAACTAATGTACATCACTATACAATATTTTTACTGAAATGTTTAGAATAGGCAAATCTACAGAGACAGAGAATATATCAGGGATTGCTTAGGGATGGGGGGATTGGGCAATGGGAGTGTACAAATAAAAGGCATGGATTTTTTTTGAGATGATGAAAACTAAAATTGACTGTAGTGATAATTGCACACATCTATTAATATACCAGAAGCTGTTACTGCATGCTTTAAATGAATTAATTGCATGATATATGAATTATAACTCAATAAAGATTTTTTTTTAAAAAAGGAAAAATAACACATTATTAGCAGCTTTCTTTTCCTTGGAAACAACTTTAATTTACATTTGTAACAGATTGTTTTAGAAAAAAAAATCACAGGACTAGATTCTTTAGTTACACAAATATAAAGGAAGTATACACCTCTTGACTTTGAAAAACTATGGAATCTCAACAATTTTCAGTGCAGAGTTGCAGGTTGAAATATTATATATCCTGTATGGAATGTAAATTGAGTATATTTACTTTTGGGATCACTTGCCTTTGGAAAGTTAGATCCTCTTCCCCCCATCCACACATAAACATATTTAGTCCAAAGTAAACATAGTATGAACTATGCTTAGTCATATGTTGGTATTACATATGAAGTTAAGACTAAATATTTTTATCTTTTAGAAATGTACGGCAACTATCATGAATGTGTTTCTTGGGTCAGGAAAGCCTAACCACAGCATTGTAGGTGGGGTATGGGGTTTCTATGAAGGAATGATTACTATCACTGTCAAACATACAAGATCATTAAATAAGCAAGACTTCCTTGGACAACAGGGGAGGGGACCTGCTATTCTTTCTGGCATCCAGGAAGGTTGTCTCCTGGTATACATGGTACTAGATAGCAGCAATTACTTGCTGATGGAACTGAGATGTCCCTGACTGAGCAGCAACCTACCAGGAGGAAGGCATGAGCTCTCTGGTTTGTTTAGTTTCTACACACTAAGTGAAACTATTTCTGATAGAAGTGTAATATGCTTCCTCTATTGTGTTCTATGTATCTGCATTTACTCAAGTTCTATGACACAGCATAGCCTCACCTGAAATATCATTTGGGGAAATTAAATGAGGGGTTTATATTCATCCTGTCAGTAAGCTGATGAAAGAATAGTATGACCCAGAGAAGCCATTGTATTTAGTGAAGTACTCTAAAAATTCCACAGATTTAAAACAAAAGCAGAATACAATCCAATAAAACAATTCCCAAATACAGCCAATGGGTCAATTTGCAGTACATATTATGCATATTGTATACATACATTTTAGGGATTTCCAGAATTTTCTTGGATAAAAGAATGGACTTACTCCTGTGATCTAAAGGATGGGATCTGAAATCATTATAATGTGGATAGTTTAAATAAAG